TGTTTTGAAAAATCATTAAAAATATCAAATCAATTCCAAAAATAGTGAAACTTTGGGAAAAGTTTCTAAATGATGAAATAAACATGTTTGAAAATGAATTTTTAGAAAATCAATTTTTGTTTGTGAAAACTCCATGTTTTTGAAAAGTGTTCAGAAAACATGTTTTTCGTGAACATAAAAATTAACATAAGGCTTGTAAATATGTATATATGTATTATGCATGTATTATATGTATATAATGAATTATGAAAGAGCTGTAAACATGAGATATAAGATATTGTAACAACGTTTGATGAAAAAACATTTATATGATAGAAAACGTCAAAAAACGTGTTAAGTGTACATATATTGAGCTTAGATCTAATCATACAATATATGTAAGTAAAATAAACTTATACCTAGGTAAATCCACACATATGAACTTGAATTTTTAACGCTCGACTGACGTGTGTTGAAATACCTATAAAGAGAAACATAAACACAAAACTAGAGAATATATTAGCTATAAATTGTTTGACAAATTATCATCAAAACTATAGGGTCAACAAATACAATTGCGATAAGAGAAGGTTATTACGACCATGATGTTAATGAAGAAAAAGAAGGCGAGCTTCTTCTCAGTTGCATAGTTTATATTGCATTCCAAATAACCCATCAAAACCTATGGAATTTCTTCAGGTTGAGTTGTCTTCCTAAGGAATGCTATTATGATGGAAAAGGGCTTATAGATGGCTTGTGATGAACGACTGATGAACTTATTTTGTTATGACAAAAGCCATCTACTCATATAAACATACAAATGACATTACCGAGAATGGAACACTTCTCCAAGTTTTTAAAAAAATAATTACTGTAACAACCAAAATTTGCTGACCAACAAGATTTTTTTTTGGCTCTTTGCTCTATTCTCACATGTTCAAGTGACATTATATTCGAATTGGACAGTCTACATCACAACTAGCAAGAGAGCTCTGAAACTGTCGCAGTTGCAAAAATAACACTAGAAAAAAATCCCTAGGCTCGCCAACTACCAAAAGCCTAAAGGAGTGACAGTGGACAAAGCATACAAGAAACTAAGAAAGGAAATAAATAATATATAGAACAATTGGATAACAAAGGAGTAGCTAGAAATAGAACATAAGTGGATGAAGCTGAGATATGCTTTTGGAGGCATTATGTGACCACAGCCACAGCAACCCTCAGCAACTATAGGAAAAAATGACAGAAGCACAAAGTTCGAATATAAACACTGGTAAAAGAAAACAACGTAACACCAGCAAAATCAAGATTTTTATATACATGTATGATTCAACTATGAATGCCAAACTGAAAACAAGCGCTCATAATACTAACATAAAAAGTATTTATGCTTATGAATATACCTCCTGTTATTTTTCTCAAGTAATCAACTAATCATCAAATCACCAAAATGTAATATGCTTAATTCTAAAAGCAACAAAATGAAACCCCTTAAAAAACAAATTGAGACAGATACCAGCAAAGGTGAGGTGACTCTCTTCTTGACCGCAAGCACAACTCCTTCCTTCGTTTTCAAACCAATTGCAGTCGAACCCAGCTGAATCCAAAAAAAAAAATGAATTCAGTCAAAACAATGATGATAAACCAATACCCATCTCGTAATTAGATCCAATGAATCCAAAATCAGCAGAGAAATCAACCCTTGATTGCTTCGATGGCATATTCCACTTGAAACAGCCTCCCTTCAGGTGAGAATGTGTCGACTCCTCGATCATAGTCAGTCCACCAAGGAAACCCCAATCGAAAACCATGGTTTGAAACAGCCTTGATTGCTTCGATGGCATATTCCACTTGAAACAGCCTCCCTTCATGCTTCGTTTGGATACCGTGGTCATTTACTTTTTCCATTGTGTTTTTATCAAAAACAAAACACCGTTCGTTTGGAAAGGTGTTTTTTTTAGCTAAATCATCATCAAACAAAAAACACAACACTTATTTCAAAATACTTTTTAGGTGTTTTAAGTTTGGTGTTTTGGTTTTGAGTTTGAGAATGTGTTAATATAATATCTAACATAATATATTAAATGTAATTAATATAGAGGTATTATCAATATGTTTATTATATTATACTATACTATACTCTATTATAGTTAATTTAATATATTAGTAATATTTATTAAATAATATAAAAATATAATAAATAAAATATTTTATATAATAATATGATAACATATTAAATACCAATATTTAATAAACTAATAATGTGTTATATAATAAACAAATAATAATAAAATATAAATAAACTAATAAAAAAGTTATTGATAATAAATAACAATATAATAATATACTATATAATAGTATAATTGCTATAATATTATTAACTTTTTAATAAATAGATTGGAATAAATTAATAATTATAAAATATTATATAATAGTAACATATTTAATAATTACATCACAAAACATATTGTATAGTAAATGTAATATAATATGTAAATATTAATATATTATGTAATAAATAATATAATATACTATAAAGTAAAATAATTTATTGCTAACAAATGTTAATGTAAAAATAATATATTCATAATATAATAATATTTATTAATATCATAAATACTAATATGTTATTAAAGTACTATTAATAAACTCTAACATATTAAAAACTATAATATATTATATAATATCAAAATATTTATTTATTAATAATATATTAGTAATAAAATAATATTAACATTATTAATAATATTATATTATATGAATAATAGTATAATATTATATTATATTAATAATAAAATAATAATATTATAAAAATATTAATATAATATACAACAATAACAAATTGATATACCAAAATAATTAAATATATAACTATTTAAAAATAATATGTAATACTTATAATATAATATAACTCATTAAAGTACAATATAAATTATAATACATTATACAATATTATATTGCATTACATTTAATACTTATAATAATATAATAATGTAAACTAAATATTATAGTATTTTATTTATAATATATTTTATTATAATTAATATATAATATATTAATAATATGTTTAATACTAATGTTATAATGGGTCAAACTAGTGTTGACAAAAAATACTTCACATGGTGTTTTAAAAATATTTTAAGGAAAAAACACAACACTATGGTGTTTTTTTACAAAAACCCAACAAGAAAAATATTATGATATCCAAACGAAGCCAAAAGATCAGTTGCTGATTTGCTAATAATGGAGGTGTTGAAATAATAAAAGACGAGGCTTTTTACCTGGTGAGAAACATGGTGAAAGAATCGCAAAAACCCTAGAAATCTGCTGCTGAGGTCGAGCAGTTTGGGAGCTGTATTTTGTGGAGATTTCGAGCTTGGGAGTTGAATGGTAATTTGAGGACGAAACGAGGGGTGTTTTGGTCATTAGATAAGGTTATGAAGGAATCTATGGGCCTTTTATCTAACAACGGACATTCATGGGCCGGTAGATGGCCATTCTTTCGGACCTATTTACACAAAACCTTTAATAGGTTTTTTCATTATGACCAATTTGCCCCTATATTTTAACATTCGGTGTTTCACATATTCCCCAAATTAGTGTCGTACAAAACAGGGTGCCCTATTTTTTAAGTACTACATTTTGAACTTGTCTTCCTCTAAATTTTAACACATTTGATTTAATTATTATACGCTTAAAATTAGAAATCATATCTACTCCTATATTCTTAAAAATGATGTAAATTTTAATACATTTGATTTAAAAAGCATATTTATTGCTCTATCTGTCAACAAACCGGTAACCTTTTGCCTGTCATGTCTGTCACGTCTTTAAACAGGCGTAGGCTTTGCTTGACGGGTTTAGCGAGGTGTAAGGTGATAATGGCTGCCTGTCTTGGAAACAAACGCCCATATTTGATGCATTTAATACGGGGAGAGAGAGACAGATTTCTCTTGGTTAGCTTAACAGCCAAAAGGGATAAAAGTTGAAAAAAATCCATACGCTTGACAACAAAGCACGAAACATGACAATCAATCTATGAGCTTGACAACAAAGTGCGAAACATGACACCCAATCCATGTTATTGCCTTAACAGCCAAAAGGTTTAATTGATAACAAACACATACGCTTGACGACAAAGCGCTAAACTTGATAACCAATCTATAAGCTTGATAACAAATCAATAACCTTGAAAACAAAGCGGTACACATGTCAACCAATCCATAATCTTGACAACCAATCCATAACCTTGACAGCAAAGTGGTAAACATGACATTCAATACATAAGCTTGTCAACAAATCTATAACCTTGACAACAAAGCGCGGAACAACAGCAAGAAGGGTATAAGCTTGACAATAAAGAGCTTAACATGACAACCAGCTTAACAACAAAGCACTGAACATGACAACCAATCCATGTAATTGCCTTAACAGCCAATCCATAGCTTATGGATTGGTTGTCATGTTTAGCGCTAAACATGACAACAAATCCATAAGCTTGACAACAAAGTACAGAACACGACAACTAATCCATAACCTTGACAACAAAGCGCGGAAAACAAGCCACAAGGCTATAAGCTTGACAACAAAGCTAAACTTGCCAACAAAGATCTAAAATTGACAATCAATGCAAACGCTTGACAACACAGACTAAACATTACAACCAATACATAAGCTTAACAATAAATAAACTTATTCTTTGCTATTAATATTTCCAAAATTACACTAGTTTACATTAACAACTACAGTTAAAGAAAACATATTTTCACTGTCAGGACAAAACATTAACAACCAAGCGAGGACCACCATCCAAAAGACCACAAACTTGCCAATGAAGACTTAAACTTGCCAACAAAGGCTGACCTTGACAATAAAACGAAAAACTTGACAACAAACACATATAACAAATGTAAACATTTACATAATTCTGGCGCCATCAACCATATTTCTGGATTCTCCTCATATAATAGCATCAACCTTTTGAATGTCATGTTATTATCCTTATCCACATTGTCTTCTCTCTAAGTTCCATCAGTTGTGGGTGTGTATAAATGGCTCCCTCCAATGAGCTTGTCCAATAACTGGACAGTTAAGATTCAAAAGTACAGAAAAGACACGCAATCCAGTAGGATCAATACATGAAATCACATAGGAAGGATGGCATATGTTGGTGGAGAAGGCATACCTTAACACTGTATACTTATACACTGTTACCGTAAGCGAGAGTCCTGCCTCCACCGACATACGACTAACTTGCCATTTGATTTCACGAATGAGCCTACTGGATTGACGGACTTCGTCGTACTTTTGAATCTTAAATGTCTTGTTAGTGAGCAAGCTCTTAGAGAAAGCCATATATATTCACCCACAGGTGATGGAACTTAGAGAAAAGTCCATGGGGATAAGGATAACAACATTAACATTCAAAAAATTGATGCATTAACAGAAAGAGGAATCTGAATCCCCTACTAGTTTATAAAAACCATGAGGACAAAGTAGTCACCGACTTCTTCAGCTTGCGGGCTACCACCGACTTCTTCAAATCTACACGGCAGGTTTTATTAGACTCGACCTCCACAACGTCTTCCGTCAATTGTTTAATGGCCAAGCAGCTACCATGCTCAATATTTGTTTTCAACACTAACTCCGCTTCTGGGCACAAATTTCCAGACCAATTATGACCCTTTACCCTCCTTTCATACATGCACTCCATAATTTGCTTCCGTATCATCTCAACCAAAGGTAAGATACGCAACAATCTTGCATTTCTTATCCAGTTGTTGAAGGACTTATCAACGTTTGAAGTTACATGGTCATACCTACAAAGTTAGTTGACAACCGAAAATAAACTTAACAAAGAAAGGGTAAACTTAACAACAAAACCATAAAGTTAACAATAAATCAATGACCTTCACAACAAATCCGTAAAACTTAACAATCAATCCGGCATATTAACCATAACAATGAAACTCTAACCTTAACAAAAACCTCTAACCTTAAGAGGAAGATAGTAGGCTAACTCTAACCATGACAACTATAATGGTGCTGTAACAAAATAACATTTAAACCAAGCAATCTTACCTTATGCTAGAAAAATGCGTGTTTTCCCATCTCTCCGAGGAGTATTCCATTGCAGTGACGTAAGCCCTATGATCGATCGATGCTAAATCTTTCATGGCATCTTCCTATTCAGAAATTGTGTACTTATAAGCCGCAGTTTGTAACAATTCGCCCAATGAATTGGCGACATTTGCCTTGTGCCCAAAATCCTTCATCTTCTTTTTAAAATTCTCGACTAGGTGCATATCACACCTTGAATGGAGAGCATCAGAAAAGAATTCCTCGACTGCTACCTTAATACCCTTGTCAGCATCGGAAATCATTACCAGTTGATGTGGAGGATTGTAAGGCTTTTCCCTATCATATGGTAATGTCCACAATCCTTGTAAAAAACATTTCCAATTAGCCTCATTCTCCTGGTCGCATACGCAATAAGCTAGGGGAAATATTCACTGATTACCGTTATATCCAGTGGCACTAAGTAGTACGCCTTTGTAGCGATCTTTAATAAATGTTCCATCCAAAAACAATAGCGGCCTACACCCAGCAATGAACCCTTCGATGCATACATTATAACATATGAACAAACACCTGAACCTTCCTTCATCATCATCAATAACAACACGACTTCCTGGATTAGTTGCATGAACCATGTCTTCATACCTGAACAACCACAACAACAAAGCGGTAACCTTAGCAACGGATTCGTGACCATAAAAGCTAATCTTCAACATTATTAACCAACAAGTATACTTAACAATCAACCATAACCTTAACAACTATTGTGTATGTTTAGCAACAAATATGTAACATTGCCACCTAAAACATGAGAATAAAAGAATGCACCATCTCAGTGAATCGTAAGCCTCGTCATCATCTCCGAACAGGTCCTGTTGAGCTGTCTCTTTGCCCCCACCACGCTTTAGAATAGTTAATCTTGATGCCATAGTTTGAGAGCATGTCGTTCTTGATATCAACTGCACGAAGATCTGGCCTAACATTCAAAACGGCTTGTATTTGGCCTGTAATGAATTTCCTTGATGCCCTAGAGTTACCAGCATTAGCTCCATGTTGACCATATGTGTGGGTAGGATAGAAATTCTTTATGGACATGATCGACGAATTTCTAAGTGGGGAAGCAAACAACATCCAGGGGCAACCATATGTGTGCTTGAATCGGCAATAGACTCTAATGCGCCTTTGTTCATTGTGGTAAAAATTATAATCGAACCTTTTAGCAATTGAATAGTATTGAAGTGCTAATCTAACTTCAGCAGCACTATCAAATTTCTGTTCAATTTCACGTATGGCTGTGTGCCACTCAGCTGGGATCTTTGTTTGGTTGTTAATCATGTCCTCCAGCAGCATGATCGAGTCGCCGGTGGAATTGTCATTAGGAATGCGCTCATCATTACATGTTTGGGTGGGCGTGTTAGCTGCGCATCGCGAATTTTCTGTCGGGATAGTACTGTAGAATTAAAAAACAACATAACCTCAGCAACAAACTGCTAACCATAACAACCAACTAGTATACTTAACATCAAACTCCTAATCTTAGCAAAAGATTCGTAATCTTAAAACTATCACATAAAATAAACCAAACAACACATAACCTTAACATTGATAACCAACTCATAACCTCATCAACCAATGCACAAGATTAACAACAGACCTGTAACCTATAACTGAACCCATAAGGTAATCTAAAGCGTAACGCCTACACATTTTCTGCCGTGGTTTGCGTGTTCTGCGAAGTTGAGGATTCCCCAGCGGAGATAGCATACAAATTCGCGTCTGTAAATCCATTACGACGACAATACTCAAACATAAAACACAAGTCCTCGTCATTGTCAATTGAAATACTGAATTTCTTTTCCCTTTCGCATATGAACTTCAGTGATAGAGATTGTGTTGGTATTTTAAGCCTTTGTGACACTTGATATTTCAAGCTGGTTATTTCTGTATTCTCTTTGATGACGACGAATACGTCATCGCTCCCTTTGTTGCTTTTTGCCTTAGTTACCACACAAAGAAGAGATCCATCCACCATTTTAAGCAAGAGAGTAATTGATGAATCGAAGAAGATCTATTGCGGAGGATTGAGTGGAAGGAGGAAGAGACGTTGGGGGTAATAGAATGAGGAGGAGATGATTTCGCGGCCGTAAGGGGAGTAGATATAGTAATAATTTGGAGGAAAGTGGGAATTTTCCCCCCAAAACCGTATTCTAATCAACATTTAATGCTATAGATTCAAACCAGTTCTTCCGACGTGAGAAGGCGGCAATTACAGGATGTGTAGGGGTATTTTGGGCATTTCGTGTTGGGGTTAACAGCGTTTTCACCTGGTGATTCGTTTTGGGGGCTGGAAGAAATTCGGGGCACTTTTTGGGGGCAAAGGACTCGTTGAAAAAGTCGGGAAGGGGGGCTTGTTTTCTTTGATTTTGGGGGCTGGAAGCATTTTTTCCTAGATTTATAGCTTTTGTGGAGGAGAGAGAAAGTAGGAGAGAGATGCATGAGTGATAAAATCTTTATCATGGCTGCGGATGCCCTTTGGGGAAAAAAATTATTTCCCCCTCGTCCTTGTTAGACTGAGTTACCTTAATTGCATAGGATAATCGAATCACTTTTGTTTTCGAACGAAAGTGTGGAAATTACTACGGGGACAAACAACCAACTTGCTAAAATACAACAAGGGCCGGACCGAAATAAATAGACTAGAAATTATATAATATTTAATTTACACAAGTGCTGTCTTTTGAACTTAATATAAATATATTGTTTAATTTCTTGGAGTTTCACGGGCTTCTTGTGCTAAGTGGTTCGGGATAAAAATTTAATGCTAAATTTCTACAGCTATTGGTCTCTCATACTTTCTTAAATTTAGCTCGCCTAACCATTAGACCAAAGTTTCAAAGTTATGATGAGGATCAAATATTATAGTTTTATATTAATTCTAACATACTTAATAAGAATCAATAAAAAAACAAAATGTATACATTCATGTTCTTCTCTCTCTTTCTCTCACCGTCGCCTCCCACCCTTCTTTTGTCTGAGAGAAGTTTGTTGAGATTTTATCTTTGATTCTTTGTGTAACTTCATAAGAATTAGATAGGGTTAGAGTTCTATCATGATTAAGAGTTTGGGTTTTATCATGATTAGGAGTTTGGGTTCTATCATGATTGGGAGTTAGGGTTTCATCATGATTAGGAGTTTTAATCCTATTCTAATTAGGAAGTTAGACTAGAGATAGGGTTTTGATTTTCCTATATATATATATATATATAATATATATATATATTCTTCCATTGTTGGAGGAAAAACCAAGAAGAGAGTAGAGAGAAGATGTAGTAGAGAAGAGAGAATCAATATTCTTGTAATCTAGGGTTAGCAGAGAGCGTAGCCTGATTCAAGAATATTGTGCGAGAGGAGAGGGTTTCGTGATCTTTATCCGTGCAAAAGATTACAAGGAGTGGGCTTTGGAGAGAATATGAGAGTTTTATTATGTATGTGAGGTTGGGAGATTGAGAGACGAGAGTTGAGTGGTTCCTCTTATAGTTCTCCCTGATACATAGTGGATTTCTCGTATTATTGCTCCGTGGACGTAGGTCGAATTTGGTCGACCAAACCCTGTAAATTTTGGTGTTCTTTCTTCTTGATTGTGACTATTCTATCTTGTTGATTGTGGTTGGCTCTCGAGTTGTGCAGATCATAGTATGCGGGGAGACTAAAATTCTCTAACAAGTGGTATCAGAGTGTGGTTAAACGGTTTGTGGAGATTCCAGCATCGCGATCTGCAAGGGCATTAGTGGTCGTGGCATTGTAGCGGAGGCATACTGTAGTAGAAACACTATTCCACGGCGATGTAGTGTAACAAGGCGTACTATAGCGCAGCGGGCACTGTTTACGTGGGGATCCGACGGTCCAAATTGATTTGTTAGCCGATCGAGGATTTGGAAACGTATTTTGGTGATCCAGGAGTCGTTCTAGGGGTTTTCGACGTGCTGAGTTCGTTTTTGACGTCGGTTTTATCAAATTTAATCTCTATAGTGACTGATTTGAATTTTAATTGTGGAGAGGATAATGATTTCTTCGGGTCCGAAGTTCGATATTTCACTATTTAATGGCAAGACGAATCTGATAGTAGATAAGGAACAATAGTTGATTGGTGTGTATACTCGAGGAGGACAGTGCTAGACTAGGTGAAGCTTACAAGCGAGCACGATTGAGTGATACACATGGAGATGGAGATGGTGTCATTGGACTTGAAGACGATGAGCACTCATATTCAGCCCAAGCCAAGTGATGGAGGAGATAAAAGCATCTGGCTCGTAGTATAGAATAGGAGAGGTGCACCGATATGATTCGAGACGAGCGATGCATGTTGAGCACAATGACAACAAGTGAGGGGGGCTATTGTCAGTCTTAAGGTTGGGAGGAGACGCATGGTTGAGTTGCTTCTGATGTTAGAAGTGACGGATCTCTTAGTGCACACAAGAGAGGAGGAGGCATCACGATGAAGCAGACAATAGTGAGGGTCATGAAGGCATCTAGTTGGGAGTGCATGTGTTCTGATTTGAAGTGCGAAAGAAATAGAAGATTCTAGCGGGAAATGCAAAGTTTCAAGATGCAATAGTAGATCTTCAAGGGAGTTTGGGAATTAAATCCAAGTGGAGATTGTTGGATTTTGTCTTCGATTCTTTGTGTAACTTCATAAGAATTAGATATGGTAATTCTATCATAATTAAGAGTTTGTGTTTTATGATGATTAGAAATTTGGGTTCTATCATGATTGGGAGTTTGGGTTTCATCATGATTAGGAGTTTTAATCCTATTCTAATTAGGAAGTTAGGGTAGAGATAGGATTTTGGTTTTCCTATATATATTCTTTTATTGTTGGAGGAAAAACCAAGAAGAGAGTAGATAAAAGATGTAGTAGAGAAGAGAGAGCCAATATTCTTGTAATCCAGAGTTAACAGAGGGTGTAGCCTAATTCAAGAATATTGTGCGAGAGGAGAGGGTTTCGTGATCTTCAGTAGTACAAAAGGTTATAAGGAGTGAGATTTAGAGAAAATATGAGAGTTGATTATGTACGTAAGGTTGAGAGATTGAGAGGCGAGAGTTGAGTGGTTCCTCTTGTAGTTCTCCTTGATACACAGTAGATTTCTCATATTATTGCCCCGTGGACGTGGGTCGAAGTTGGTCGACCGAACCACGTAAATTTTGATGTTTTCTTTTCTTGATTGTGATTGTTCTATCTTGTTGATTGTGGTTGGCTTCCGAGTTGCGCAGATCGTAGTAAGCGGGAAGACATAAATTCCCCAACAAAGTCAGTTTTGCATTTTTCATAGGCACATCTGCTTGAAATCACCAAGAGAAAATATTATCTTCTTCTGAGTATTTCATACGAGTTAATACGAGAGGATAGTGAAATGAACAAGAATGAAACTCCAAAACCTCATTTTTTTAGGTAAGCGGCACTTGTCTAGTTTGTTTTATCACCATCATGTCGCCCCCTCTTTGTTTAAAGTTCTGGCCTCAGATCGTGTATATAAATCTAGAGGCTTTATGTCAAAGTCGGAAGGGAATACAACACGTCCCTTCACCCAATACAAATTGGATTTGACGACATTAGGTTGATTGGCATTGTTACCTCATTTATTGCTTTCCACCAATTCATTTGATTCCTTGACCACGTTATTATGATTTTCTTCTCAGATGACCTCTTGTCGCTCAAATTGAACATTAGCTCTCCAATCTTACTCAAAAATAGTTTTTCAGACGCTCTTTGAAAAACTACGTCTAGAAAAAGCGTGATTGTGACAGTTTTTGAGACTGTATTGGGTTGTTAATTTGTTAATATTTCTATGCGTAGTTATTGAATCAGAGCATACTGGCGTATTTCTAAATAAATATATCTATCTTAGAAAATAAATATCGACTGTCCTCACTTATTTAAGCAACGAAAACATAATGAAACTTAGTCTGAAAAATAAAGGTGAGACCTCAAAATTGACTACACCTATCTTACAAAATAAATATCGAATGCCCCCCACTTACTTCAGCAACGAAAACACAGCGAATTTTAGTCTGAAAAATGAAGGTGAGACCTCAAAATTTAATACATCCATCCTAATAGGAAAATAGCACATAAAATATAAATGCTTAATATCATGAAAACCACCCCTACATTTTGGATGATCATCAAATAACCCCCATAACTTTTAAAATGTATAAAACCCTCCTTAAGTTAAGTATTATCAGATAACCTCTTTTAACTTTAAAATTTTATTAGAAAGCGCCCTTGACTTTAACTAATATCTTCACCGGCCAAAATAAATAAATAAATCATCATGTATTTTATTTTATGACACTCATGCAAAACCTACATCTCAAATTCAAATCTAGTTTCCCAAATGCAACCCAAATGTACCGTTTATTTTTCGTCGGCATGCGTCACGCACCGTTCCTTACACGATTCTTGCATCATAGACTTAAAAACCAAAAAAAGAAGGACCAGGCGACGGGGGTGAAGGAAGCAAAGAGGCAACAGCGAGCGCAAGCTCGCTGAGTTTTTCGGCATTCTCTTCTTCTTTAGGCATCAGTGACTTTTGCCCCGAAAACTCCCAGCCGTCCCTGCACGCCAAGACATCGTCCGCTGCTTTACCCAAATGATTAATAACGTCTTCCATGCGATCAAACTTGCCGGACTTGAGCGCGTCTATGGCTTTCTTAAGGTCGACGGCGTCTTCGCTGTAGATACTTTGGCATTCAGTAAGGATTCTTCTGATCTGCTTGGACAAATTCTTGTCCTGCAGCAGCTCCGTGGCCTTGGCCTTGTTGTGTGTGAAGTTGACGAGCGCTATGTTCGCCGCTATAATGGTAAGACCTGGTGGAAAAAAAGATCGTATTTTGATGTTAGTACCTCAGATCATTAAGTCTGAGGCGCCCTATGAATGAATCATAGGGGGTACCCGCCCGTTGATCCCTGTCTTTAATTTCTACATTGAAGTTTGAGCTATATATAACTCACAGTTATTTTTTTAGCCGCTCATTTTAGTTTGAATAAAAATAACTTGATGGCGATCTTATGAAATTAACGTAAAAAATGAAGGAAAAAGTGGATCTTTTAGGAAAAAGATAGGCGATGAAGAATTAATCAAAGTACCTATAGCGTCGGCTTTTTCACTCCCCGGAGCAACCTGAAGGCTTGTCTTGCAGAACTCAAAGTCAAAGCCACGTGCTGGACCTATTGGTGGAGATGTTAAGTTCTTGCATGTTTCTTCGAGGAGGGTGGCCCCAACTGAGTACATGTTGAGGAGAAGGAAAGCAGCAGAGATGGAGGCAAAGACCTTCATATTGTTCGTATCTTTTTTCTCTCTACTAAATAAATGTTCGCTTCAATTTAATTTGAAAAAAAAAAAACAGGAGGCATTATATAATCCATGAGTTAAGCCCCTTTTGTCATCTAAATTAATGGGTCGGTTCATATTTGGTAGGTAGATAATGGGTGTTTATTGCCTCGTTAAAATTCCATTAATTGTTTAAACCAAATAAAGAGCAAATCCTTCTTCGTATAGAAATAAAACTCATCATGCAAATTCTTAATTTGCCTTATTATGAAGAAAGAGTCTGGTGCATTCCATGAATTGTTTAAACCAAATAAAGAGCGAATCCTTCTTAGTAGAAATAAAATTTATTATGCAAATCCTTTTCCTTATTATGAAGAAAGCGTCTGGTGCATTAAATGCAAGGGAAAAATGTGTCCAGGCCCCAAAAGTGGGAACTTCGTGTGACTAGCCCCCCTGTATTTTGCCCCATGTGGAATAGCCCCAAATACGCATAGTATTTGCGACGAGGCCCCGAATTGACTCTTTTCAGAAAAAGCCCAACGGAAGTTACTATCTTGTCCTCTGATGGGACTGAGCTGGGTTAATGTGCCCCTCACCTTTTCAAGTACTCTCCCTCTCTTTCTCTCTCTTCCACCTAGCACCGTCATCAAGAACTCTTCATCTTCCTAATTTCTGTACGAATTTCAACGTTTCTAGGGTTTTCGCTGGAAAAATGTCGTCGTCTACGGAAAAATCCAGTAACGACTACGAGGTCGGGCACCGAGCCGAGTTGGAAGGAAAAGGCGCTTCATCTGCGGGTGGCAGCACGGAGGAAGCTACGGAAGCTACGAAAACCCTAATCGAAATGCAAAAGGAGGCACATTACAATGGAGACCAGAAAAGGAGGACGACAATGGCTGGTCGTACCAACGAACCCCCCTCAAAAAAACAGTAAGTGTTATGTTATACTGCGAACAGACAATGCAGATTAACCCAATATTGTTAGTTCTAGGCTTATGTTATACTGCGAAGAGACAATGCAGATTAACCCAATATTGTTAGTTCTAGGCTTTGTCCAATGTTAGTTCTAAATTTATACCAACGTTAGATCTAGTTTAAGTCCAATGTTAGTTCTAATATGAGTCCAATGTTAGTTCTATAATATTACGTGTTAGCTCTATTTTGTTCCCGTTAGTGCTAGGTCTAATATTGTTTCATATGTCTTATTGAACTTACAAATTCGAAAATTTTTTGCAGGGAAAAAATTGCTCTAACAGGCTCAGCAGAAAGACTAAGGTTAACGGCCAATATCGGGGCTTATTGGGCATTTATGAAGCGCCTTGCCCCGAAGATCCGTCAGTGGCATAGGGATGCATACTGCGGTTCTATATTTCAGCACTACATTTTGTTTGGGGCTCCTGCGCCTGATCGGCCCACCCTTGAGCTGCTGCTGAGCTTTTTCGATAGAGATAATAACACCTTTTGTATACCTGATTCAAAAAGTGGGGGTATGAAAAATGTTAGTTTTGATTTGCAATGGGTCCACAACCATACTTATTTCCCAATTTATGGGGAGGACATAAGGAACAATAGGGACTCAAGAAGCAGAATATGGCTGGAATACTTCGCTAAGCTTTTCATTTCTGAAGAGGGTAAGAAGTTAAAAAAATCAGAAACCAGCCAACGTAAACATCTTGAAGGGCTACTTGAACGGCTTGTTGAATCTACCAAAAAGCGGGATATCGAGGATTTTGCTCTGCTACAAATTTTGTACCAATGCTCTATGATATGGAGTCCCATAGCAGGGGAAGGTATCCCTAGACCCTTACTCAGGTACCTGGATAGCATTCAGAGGGTCAATTCTGTTGCATGGGCCCCGTTCTTTTATAATGAAATTATCAGGGGCATTGGAGTTGCTTTGGAGGGAAAGAAGAAGCAAAAGGTCGCATATGTCCCAGGTTGCATGACACTATTGTGTGTAAGTTCCATATTTTACTGATCTTGTTTCATTCTAATTCGTACCTATGCATTGTTAGTTCTAACTTATTCTATGTTAGTTCTATTCTGTAGCGTGTTAGTTCTAATCTGCACAGTGTTAGTTCCGTTCTGTAGAGTGTTAGTTCTAATCTGCAGATTAGAACTCACACGCTACAGACAGATTAGAACTAACACGCTGCAGAATAGAACTAACACTCTACAGAATAGAACTAACACTGTGTTAGTTCTATTCTGTAGAGTGTTAGTTCTAATCTGCACAGTGTTAGTTCTATTCTGTAGAGTGTTAGTTCTAATCTGCACAGTGTTAGTTCTATTCTGTAGAGTGTTAGTTCTAATCTGCACAGTGTTAGTTCTATTCTGTAGAGTGTTAGTTCTAATCTGCACAGTGTTAGTTCTATTCTGTAGAGTGTTAGTTCTAATCTGCACAGTGTTAGTTCTATTCTGTAGAGTGTTAGTTCTAATCTGCACAGTGTTAGTTCTATTCTGTAGAGTGTTAGTTCTAATCTGCACAGTGTTAGTTCTATTCTGTAGAGTGTTAGTTCTAATCTGCACAGTGTTAGTTCTATTCTGTAGAGTGTTAGTTCTAATCTGCACAGTGTTAGTTCTATTCTGTAGAGACGGGACCTTGGAATTGCTTCTGTTCTCGATTCCTTTAATCCTTCAGGCTATTCGGTGCTTTGTCGAATATCTAAAAGGGTTTCGGTGCTGCATTTATTGTCTGACCGTTGTCGGAATTTTGAATTTGAAGTCGTTTCCTAATTTTCTGATCTTTAACTCGTGCTCGTTGGTTCAACATAGCATTGACCATCGATTGTTGGCGTTGCGACGCGTTGTCCGGCGTCGTGTGTCTTTATCTGCAACGCGTTGTCCGGCGTAGTGTTGTTGAGTTATCCTTAAGAATATTTATGAAAACATTCTCCAGGAACTTCTCAATGAAAATTAGGGAACAGTTTATACTCATATACCTTATTGGAGTACTTTCTGTGCCCAAATAAACTGAACCGGTCTGACAATGACCCAAAAAAAGGCAGTATTAGGCTCAAAAAATCCTCCGACTCTTCCGTGAACCGTCGATCGATTTGAAGTCGTTTCGACGATCGGTTCAGCTTCAATTTAGATTCCGGTTCAAAACCGGTCCGGTCCGGTTCAAGGCCGGTTTGGTTCAAGGCCGGGTTCACCCTACAAAAGGGGTCTTTTTCTTTTCTTTTCCCTCACCTAGGGCCGGCCACCTCTCTCTCCTCTTTTTTGAATTTCTCTTCCCTCGAGCATCCGTTCTCCCTCAAAACTTGATATCCGTCTTAGATCTAGCATTCCTTTGGATCTTTAACTAAGAAATCCCTCGAAACTTTCATTTTTAGAATTTTTCTCAGACCCCTCGAGCGCGTGGTTCAAGCACTTTTCAAGATCTAATTTTTATTGGATCTTCGATCTTTCCCTTAGGTATATCTTCCATAATTTTAGCATTTTTTTATGCTTAATTTAATTTATGAACTTGTGGGATTGCATGCGAGGGTTAGGATTATGATTTGACGCCTCGAGCTTATCTTTCAGGGGGTAGAATTGTAATAAAAAGAGGATTTTTTCTAGATCTGACCTCTTGATTTATTTTGTAGGTCATTATGTCGCGAGTCTCGAGAGGTCGTTCCCCTGCTGCATCGGCTGACGGCGTGCTTCCTTCATATGCTGGTGAGCTATTTTTTGCATATTCAAAATTTTACAAATTAGCCCTCTTTTTTCTGAAAATTTGCAAATTGATCCTTTTACCCCACGTTGTTCCCCTTGGTGAGGCAATCTGGAAGAGCCTTGATTCTCCTTGGTGAGGATCGACGCTTTAAAGATAGGTTTTGCTTGGTCAAAACCATATCTCAAAATAAAGGGGGCGTTTTGACGCTGCATTGTGTTTTATAAGGCAGGGATATATTGTCGATATGCCCTATCTTATGAATGAACAATGTGGCCAAATCGTCTCACCCTTTATAAGGTAATGACTCTATCTTACCGATTTGTATGATGAGTTTAATTTCCTTTTATACCTGAAATTAACAAACACTTAATTGCTTGTTTTCAGTGGAGTATCCTTCCGGAGCTTTTTCATCGCATGCGGTGAATGGACGTCGTGACGAATATTATTCGACGTCTGATGATTTTTCACCGATTCCACTTGCTTCCCAGTTTGTTCCGGGCACGTCGACAGAGGTTGCCCAAGTGGTGAAGGAAGGTGGACATCAAGCCCTTCGTCAGCTGATTACAGATGCGCCCCTCGTGAAGGATGCTAGTTCCGTTCAGTCTCTCAGGAAGACTGATTTCTTGTTTGGCGATTCTGTCAGAGATCCCGATGCAGCATTTATCGACGCCGAGCAGTGGCTTCATAAGACTGGCAGTAGTTTCCTGTATTTGTCGAAGATTCCTCGACATCGTTCTTTGACTGAGCTCAGGCGTCAGGCTGTGAAACAGGAGATGTCGTGGCGTTTGACAGAGGAGCATGAGAGCGTTCACTGCGGCTACATTACTCATCAGGCAGTTCCTGGTTCGAGCAGGAATCACATTGTTGGACTGCGTCCTGGAGTACTGGGGCTAGATGCACCGCCCCGTAACGAGTTCCTTGCCTCTGCTTCTACTTTGAGGAATCGCCTCGCTAATTTAGGACGGGAGATGCCTGCACCGCGCCACAGATTCTATGGTTGGGTCCATTCTTTGGACAGGTTTTGGTGGGCTCGTATGACGAAGTACGTCTTGAGTCGATGGAGCGAGGAGTTGCATGCTTGCGGTCTTTATGCAGCCATTCGTGCCACCATGCATGGTTTACCCGTTAGTGCGAAGCATTTCTTTGCCTTATGCGAGCTTTATAATCCGGATTCGAACACCTTTCTGACTAGGCACGGAGAGTTGGGTTTGGCTCTTCATGAGATGCATAAGATTTCTGGTTTGCCCATGGGTCAGATGTTATACCAGGAGTATTTTCCTTCCAACCATGAACTGAGTCAGCTGAAGGATCGCATGCCCGACCGCTACGAGACCTTATGGGACCTCACTTGTCACTATCACATTGCTTTGGCGCAGTCTAAGCCCCTAGCGAAGAGGACCAAATCAAATGTGAGCCTGAAGCAATTCGCATCATATTTGTTCAGGAATCTAGAGAGCCATTCTGGCAAAGCTATTTGTGAACTGGCACCGCTGACTCCTTCAGAGGTTAATGAGCTGCTGAAGAAGACTGACGCCCACTCCTATACCATTAGCAGTCCTGAGAGTGGCTTTCCTGCAGGGACTAAATTCAAATCATTCTTATGCCATGCGACCGCACCGATTCGTCCGATGACTCTCCTTGCCGGTTATCTCGCCATCTGGTTGAAGAAATGTGTGGTCCCGTATCAGTCTGGTGACGCTCTGCCACTGGAAGTGCTCTATCCTGCGGTTCAACTTGCCTACAGAAAGGAACTTTCCCTTCTTCCGGTGATGGTGGCTAACATTCATCGAGGGCTTCGACAGATTTCCGGTGCTTTTACACGGAAGGAGAGTGAATCGCCGACTCAGATTCCTACTACTAAGGTGGAGCTTCCGTATATTTATTTGATGGCTTGGTTCGTCCTTCATCGTTCTGACATGATGTCGGTACCGCATGCCATGGACCACTCTGTTCCCTTACTACAGCTGCTTGAGAATGGCGAGTAGGAAGGGCGAGGATTCTCTGATATCAGGAGGCAACTATAGGTCCACAAGTGTTGGGCGTTCCCTACTTGTTTTCCGCAGTTCTCCAGCCGGTATGGCGAATGTTTGATTGATGAGGAGAAGCCGAGGGAGTATCGCACTTATTTAGACATCGGCTGTTTTAATTGGCTAGTGAACATTAGGCCGGGCTACCTGACTTTCCGGGTGGGGAATCAGTGCTTTATAGAG